AATAAAACAAACAGAGGTTTATAATTGAATAATGCATGCTTTTTTAAACTGGTTTTCTTCTGAATTTTTGTTACAGCTTTTTGCATACTGTTGCATGATTCTGCTCTCACTTTCGCGTATCAACTGAGAAATGATAGCTGCAAGACACAGGAGGACGGAGAATATGAGCAGAGTCTTTTTCAAATCTCAAACATTTCTGTGGATATTGTAAATTTGGCAGGAAATCATATACAGCTTCTTTTCTTACACAAATGACAATAATGGACATAATAGTTCCAGGAAGTCACGGTTATACTTTGTACTCTCTTATAATCAGAATGTTGTATATTCTTGTCCAACAGAGTTGTTTTAAACCCTACAAACTTCAAAATCATGGCCTCAATGCAAACATATCTACTTCTCTAATGCATGGTAACACAATGTTTGGTGATTGAGAGCTTTTTCCTCACTGGAAAACCTTAAGTAATGGCCGTAAACCTGCCTTGGTTGCTCTCCATGATAGAAAGGGAACGCTGTTGACCCTGTCTGTATGTTTTATTAGTCTTCCTTCATGGATTCCGTGTTCCACCTAAAATGTTACCCATTTATTGTGTCTGGTATTCTATGAGGTTTTGTTCTCTTTGATGAGGGGTTTATAAAGAAAATGGCTGTTCTCTGATGGGCATTTTGGCTTTGATGATCTTCATTTAACAGGATTGTAGAAGAGTCACTGCACACAAGATGATTTAGAATATGGTCTACTGGTTAATTGTCAACATCTGCCTTACTCCACCCAGGTGTTTTGTTTAGCTTTGCTCTTCTCATTGTTGTCCTCAGCCCCCTAACATCCTCCCACCGACCAGCCTCAGCATACATGCCAGCCAAAACAACATAAGCCCCATGATTATCAGGTTCCAGAGCCTGAATGTCTCTGACCACTCTCTCAGCAACTTCTATATTGCGATGATTTTTGCAAGCTGCCAATAGAGCTCCCAATATTACTACATCAGCTTTCCAGGTCATTTCCTTGATCAGTTCCTCGGCTTCAGCAACCTTCCCTCCTCGACCAAGAAGATCAACCATACATCCATAATGTTCGATCTTGGGCTCAACACCATAAACCCTCTTCATTGAATTGAAGATTTCTCGGCCAACAATAATCAATCCAGCATGACAGCACGCAGATAAAACTCCCACAAATGTGATGTCATTCGGGATAATTTGCCCCTTGTCTAGCTCTTGGAACAGAGTAAGTGCTTCTTGAGCATGTCCATGGCCAGCCAATCCGCATATCATTACGTTCCAAGTAGCTATATTTCTCTGTGGCATTTTATCAAACAAGGTTTTGGCCTTCATAATAGCTCCATTCTTTGCATACATATGCACTAATGCAGTTCCAAGAATAACTCCAATTTCAATATTTTTGGTTTTAATGAAGCCATGAATCCTCTCTCCCAATTCCAAGCAATCAGAATCTGCACAGGCAGATAATACAGAAGCGAATGTAGCACCGTTGGGCTCAAAATCTTCTAAAATCATTTTATTAAACAGCACCAATCCTTCGTCAGCGCAGAAATTTTGAACGTACCCGCTGATCATCGTAGTCCAGGTAATCAAATTTCTCTCTTGCATTTCATCAAACAACTGGCGAGCACCTTCCAAATCAGTCGAAACACAATACCCCCTCATCAAGGCATTAACAATGTGCAATTCCAGCTCCAACCCAAACTTAAAAACATGGGTATGAACCTGTTTGCAAGATTCAGAGTACCCACAATTGGAACACGCCTTGAGGAGGAAAGGAAGCGTGTGATTATTGGGCACAACCCCAAGCTTTCTCATCTGAACGTAAAGAAAGACGGATTTTTCAGGGATTTGGCTGTTAGCATGTCCTCTTATAAGAGTATTCCACATGAAAAGATTTGGGTTTTGCGTGTTGTTGAAGAGCTTTGTCGCGTAATGGAGATCGCCCGATTCTGAGAGGGCGCAGAAGGAGAGCAAGCGGCTGGCGGCGAAATGGTCGTGGATGCGTGAGGAAATTATCATTCGGGCGTGGATTTGTTTGAGCTGGCACATTAAAGTGCATTTGTCTGCGAGACGAGAGAGAGATGGAGTTTGGTATAGGGAATCTAGAAAAGGTTGGCAGGTGCGTTGAGCGGAGAGTTCCCTGAATGCTGGGGAGAAGATCTTGAAAGCCATTTATACTAGCAATTGCCGGTAGTAACATTAATTAATTGAGAGGGAGGGATATATTTCCCTTACTCTGTTTAGTTTTTTTTTTTTTTTTTTGTTAATTAATAGAGAGGGAGGGATGATAGAGCCCCTCCACTCCTCTGTTTCTATTCCTTTAAATTCTAAAGATTATCAGGGATTTGATTTCAAATTTAATGGTTTTTTTTTTTAGTTTTTAAAAAATAAATATATAAAAATATTTTATTTTATTTTTTTAATTATTTAATTAAATAAATATTTTCTTTTCCTCTCCTCTAGTTTTATCTACCCAAGATTAATATCCACTTCTTTCTTTCCCTCACTTCTCCTCCCTTCACTTCCCCTCCCCTCCCTTTCCTTTATTAATATTTATCCAAAATCAGTCCCTCCCTGCAACCCCATAACTCTGCCAGAAAAACCGAGACTTGATCAATGTTCATTGAGAATCCTTGAATAAAGGTTCCAGAAGAATCCTGCACAATCCACTAGCACTTGCTTGTAATCCCAGCTAACTACCCAAGAGGGGGTGAATTGGGTCATATCAATTTTTGTTTTAAAACTTGTCTCTTTTTGTTTCAAAACTTAAATCAAATTTTCAACATATAAACTGTTGTGCAAAATAAACAAAGAATGATAAAGTGTAGAAAAATAAAAAGAGAGGGAAAAGAATATCAAGCTGTGATTTATAGTGGTTCCTCCAACCCGGAGTACATCCAATCCTCAAGCCTCCTTGCTTGAGAGTTCAATCCACTAAGATTCTCTTGCTTACAGGTACAAGATTAAACCCTCACACTCTTGCTTCAAGGTGCAAGATTAAACCCACGCAAGTTGTGAATCTCAACAACTCATTCAACCCCTTCAAGGATTATCTCAATCCAAGAAGAATATAAAACCCTTGTAAGGCAATTAACCCAAAAGCTCACAAAAGAAGAAAAAGAATTAGAACAGTTTGTGTTTCAAACTCTGTTTTTCTGTCTTCCTCACTCAAGTTCGTTTTGTATTATTTCAGATATGATTTTTTGATGCTCTTTTAATAGTTGATTGAGAACTCTTGCAATTAAAGCCTACTTTGCCCTTTAGTGCCACTTACAAAAGCTCCAATAAGATTTCAACCTTTTTCTTCTTTAAATAACGGACTTTGACTTGTCTTGGAATGTGCTTAGTCATCTGAATCCTTCTAAGACCTATTAAAACAAAACAGATATTTGAACTATTAAAATTTTGTTTTCCAAAATTTTTGCTTCGAAGCCAGAAATATTTGTTCAAACCGTTTTTGGAAAAAGAACTTCAAGATTGGTTCTAGAACTTTGAATAAGGAGAACATGAATTAATTCTAATCGTGAGAAAATATTAGAATCCTTGAATTAACTTTCCTACACACTTAAAACAAAAATAGATTAAACTATTTTGAATCATAGTTTTAAATCATCATCAAAATACAAAGAGAACCTAGCATTGCCAATCTTGTCTCCTGCACTCTAGAGCCATCCATATTCAACTTGCAAAA